TCCACCGGCTTACCAAGGTGATTATACTTTTCTATATGGTTATGTGTATAATCCCAGGTAAAATAGGAACGTTTTGAGCCAGATAATCCATTGGTTCTAATTCCTCCATGAAAAGGTTTTAAACCTTGCCATATTGGACTACTTGTTTTAGAAACCTCTGTTTTTCTACTACCAACACTACCACTTCCCATATGCATGTTGCTACTTGAACTACTTTCACCTCCTCCCTGAGAATTAGCATAATTGATAACGGCCTCAGCACCTTTCACAGCAATTGGTGCTGCTACACCACCAGTTAGTATAGTCAATGCTACAGCTCCCCCAACACCAACTACGACTAATCCCTTTTTTTCATCATCGCTTAGATTTGATTGTCCGTTTCCGGGTCCATAACTTTCTCTATTCTCACTCACATAATCACTACCTCATTTTCTAATCGCTTTACTCCTGGCAACGGGAGATAAAGGAGACCCTTTGATTTGATATTTTTTGATTGCTTCTTTTTGTTCGGCAATAAATATCTCTTTTAGTTTAGCAACTTCCTCATCGGTATATTTTGGTTGATAAGTTGATATTTCTCTGACTTCCTCAACCGGTTTTTTATTTTCTATTAAATATGGATTTTGTTTTGGCATATTTTTAAATATTTTGTTATTATTTTCTGTATTTTTTTACTACTAAATTGCCTAAGTAGTTCAGGCACTAGAATAGCAGTCTAGTTCTGTTTTTTTAAAGTTTATTTCTAACTTTTAAGCCTTAAATTCTCCTTATTCTTTACGCCAAGATGGCGTTATGTGTTCCTCTTTTCAGATAGCAGTAATGGTCGCTTGATAATAGTGAATATGTTGGTTTGTCATATTTTCTAATCTCCATACATTTTTTTAATTTATTTTAATAGACCTTTTTACTGGTCTCGGTTTGTCTATATGCCAATAACATATGACAGAAAGTCCAGTAAAAAATAACGGGGTTCCTCTCTCTCACCTTGACATCCAAAAGAGAGAATTAATAATT